GGAGGGAAAGGAAGTTAGTTAGCACTGGCCTCCTTGGCAGTTCCCTAAACCAATGGTCCACCAGGTAACTCAGACCCTCTCATCTGCCCTAAGTAGGTCAGGTGTTCTCTTTCTGTTATCATGCCCTGCCCTCCCTCCCTAGGCTATGATCCAGCTTAAGCTATGATCCAGCTTAAAAGCTTCTCCTCAGGCCTCTCTCCTGAGTTCCCTGATCCCAAACACACCAGCTGTCTCAGGGAAAACAGCAAAAATTTCTGTGATGAAGTACAGACCTCAGGGACCACCTGCCATCTGGTCACCTGGCCCAGGCCTAGGAAGGAGCCTAAGAGAGCTGAAGTAAGACTTGAGTTGGGCGGGGCAGTGGTGGCGAACACCTTTGATCAGGAGGCAGAGGCAGGAAGATCTCTGTAAGTTCGAGGCCAGCCTGATCTATAGAGTGAGTTCCAGAACAGCCAGGACTGTTCCACAGAGAAACCCTGTCTCTAAGCCGGGTGTTGGTGGTGCACGCCTTTAATCCCAGCACTCGGGAGGCAGAGGCAGGTAGATCTCTGTGAGTTTGAGACCAGTCTGGTCTACAAGAGCTAGTTCCAGGACAGCCTCCAAAGCCACAGAGAAACCCTGTCTCAAAAAAAAGAAAGAAAGAAAAAGAGTTGGAATCCTAGCCTGGTGCTTTCCTTAATTACACCCCCTGGGGCAATCAGCTCCCTGACTCTGAGCTCCATCTGTAGTTACAGATGGGTAACAATACTTCTTTCAGAAGGCTGTGTTAAGTGGCAGAGTAGAGCATAAGGGCTTAAAAATGAAGCATAGGGGACAATTTATTGTCCAGAATTAAGCTCTCCTCCATGATGGCCAGTTTTACTGACCAGGACCAGCATGGGTAGGTGCTGAGAGCCCTGTTCTCCAAGCTACTCTACAGAATGGGCCTTGAAGGGGCATGGGGCATGGGGTAACTGTGGGAGATGGCCAGAAACAAGTGTCAGGTGCCTTTCCTAAATTTTATCAGTTTGCTAGACTGGTCTTTCGGTGAGCTTTGGTCAGAATGTAAAAGGAAATACACCTAGAACCCACAGTGGAAGGAGAGAACCAACCCCTGAGAGTTGTACTCTGTCTCGCACATACTAATAACAATAATAAATAAAGTAGGATAAAAGAAATATAAGCACAGATGGGGCTAGGCCAGCACTCTCCAATAGAACCTTCTGCCCCAATGTTCCGCCTCTGCATTGTTTAGTGCAGTTTCCCTCAGATCACGTGGGCTACTGAGCTGACAAATGTGCCTGACAATTCTAAAAAAAAGTAAATGAGTTTTAGAAGCTGGGGATAGAGTATTTGCATAGAACCATAGAACACAGGAAGTCTGTGGTTTGTTCCCAGCACTGTGTAAACCAGGCATGGTGGTGCATGCCTGTAATCCCAGCATTCAGCACTCCGGAGGTGGAAGAAGAAAGATCAGAAGTTTAAATTCAGCTACCTGGCAAATTGGAGGCTGGCCTGGAATATGTGAGATAGTGTATAGAAATAAAGAAAAAGAGAGGTGGGGAGATAGCTCAGTAAGAGTGCTCGCTGTGTAATCATGAGGACATGAGTTCAGATCCCCAAAGCCATGTAAAAACACCCATGTATACCTGTTCCCCAACACTGAGGATGGGGGATGCAGGAGGATCACTAGGGCTTGCTGGCTACAAGCCTAGCCCCAAAGCAAGCTCCAGATTCAGTGAGAAACCTTGTCTCAAGGAGATAATGTGGAGAATGGCAGAGTATAAGATACCTAATGTCTTCCCTTGGCCTCTGTGTGTACACCTGCAAACTCACACACATGTTCTAAATTTTAATGCAGTTTTCCTTAAATAGCTTTGTGACTAGTGGCTACAACACAGGACAGCCAAGGATGTTGAGCACTTGTCACTTAACGAGGGGACCATAGAGGCTGGTGTGTATCATGATGTACCCCATGTCACAAAGCTGCTGAAAAATCCAGGCGGGAGCCTCCTGCCTCCTCTACAGCTGCTCTCTAAATCAAGATTGGCTCAGTGAATGCTAGCCCAGGAAAGGACAGCTTCTGCCCCAGATAGACATAAACAAAAAGCAAGCAGAAACATGCAAGTGTTCTGGAAGCCCCACAGGCATTGGCAGCCAGTTTAGGATATATGTCTGTCCTCGCCCAGGCTGAAATGCCCTTCAGTGTCCTGGAACTTCCAGTGTATGTAGGCAAGAGCCAGACAAGAACAAAGAGACCACACTTGGGGTGGCCGAAACCTCTGTAACCCTCTTTCTGACCAGCACACTTGCTCCCTCCCCTGTTAGCCCAGCTTGGACAGAGAAGGCCACCTTCCGTGGAGGTCAAAGCCATCTCAGCAGCTCCACACAGACTCCACCTGCACATTCCCTCAGCCTGCCCACGCACAGGCACCCAGGTGGAAGATCAAATTAATCCAGTTCTGTGTCCGGAGGCTGGCACTCATATCTCCATGCACCAGGGAGTGTGGGCAGAGTTATGGGCAAGGCTGAATGACGTTCATGCCTCCAGGAGCAGAGGTGGGCAGGAGGGTAGTCCTGGCACCTCTTTCAACCCAAACCATCTGTTCCCAACTGAACCATATGAGAACACCAGAGTGTCCCAGGCACCCTGAGACCAGGCAGGATAAGTGTCCAGCCCCATTCCTTGACTCTCCCACCCCTTATATTCCCCACCTCTTCCTGCTCTCTTCCTTTCTTTCCCTTTTCATTTGTCCAAGTAAGTTTTTAATCGAGGTATAATAGCACAGAAAAGTCATAAACATAGGAAATTCCCCAATCACCTCGGCTAGGTAACTGACCTGAAGATCGAGAAAGGGAACACAGGGCTGGAAAGAGGGCTCAGCAGTTAAAAGCACTTGTTCATCCAGAGAATCTGGGTTTCCAGTACCCACATAGTGGCTCACAACCATCCATGCCCCCTTCTGATCTCCCTGTGCACTAGGCACTCAAAAAACACTCATACACATAAATAAAATGAGAAGACAGAAGACACACTGTGCTTGGTAACTCCCTTCCCTGTCCCTTACCAGCCATTACCCCCATCTTAGTTCCGGTTGCTGTTGCTGTAACAAGACATCATGACCAAAAGCAGCTTGAGGAAAAAAGGCTTTGTTTTAGCTTCTAGTCCATGTCACAGTCCATCATCAAAGGGAGTCAGGGCAGGAACTAAACTCAGGAAACTGGAAGTTGGTACAGAAGCAAAAGTGATGGAAGGATGCTGTTTATTGACTTGCTCTCCATGGCTTGCTCAGTCCGCTTTCTTATGCCACCCAGGATCACTTGCCCAGGATTAGCACCATCCACAATGGGCTGGACCCTATTTTGTAGCAATTCTATCAGATTGAAGAAGTCAATTTTCTATAAACTTATCCCTAGTTTTAAATTTATTTATTTTAAATTACCATTATTATTTTAACTATATCATTATCTATCTATCTATCTATCTATCTATCTATCTATTTTTATGTGTTTTGTCTGCATGTATGTCTGTGCACCACATATTTACAGTGCCCTCAAAGATCAGAATAGGGTGTCAGATCCCCAGAGTTGTAACTGGTTGTAAGCGTCCATGCGGATGCTGAGTATCAAACCTGGTTTCTCTGGAAGAGCAAACAGCCTGTGCTCTTAACCACTGAGCCGTCTCTCCAGTCCCCAGGTTGTTATTCATTATTATTTTTACAATAATTTACTTATCTTTATTATTTCATGTGCATTGGTATTTTGCATGCATGTATGTTGGTGTGAAGGTGTCAGATCCCTTGGAAATGGAGTTATAGACAGTTGTGAGCTGCCACGTGGGTGCTGGGAATTAAGCCAGGTCCTCTAGAAGAGCAGTCAGTGCTCTTTAACTGCTGAGCCATTGCCCCAGTCCCAGTTTTTATTATTCTTAAATGTTATTTGTATGAATGTTTTGCCTGTAAATATGTCTATTCACCATGTGCATGCCTAGTATCCTCAGAAGTCAGAAGAGGGCATCAGATCCCATGGGGCTGGAGTTACACAGACAGTTGTGAGCTTCCACATGGGTGCTGGGAATCGAACATACATCTTGTGGAAGTGCAGCCAATGTTTTCAACTGCTGTTCCCTCTCTCCAGTTCCTCAGCTTCCCTTTTAAAGACCCCATCTCTAAAACAGTTCTATTCTGAAATGCAGAAATTATTTTAGTGAATTAATTAATTTATTAATCTTTCTTTAAAAAAATTTCTTTACACCTGGGTGGTGGTGGTGGCAGTGGCGGCGGCAGCATGCGATTTTAATCCCAACACTCAGGAGGCAGAGGTAGGCGGATCTCTGTGAGTTCGAGACCAGCCTAGTCTACAAGAGCTAGTTCTAGGATAGTCTCCAAGGCCACAGAGAAACCCTGTCTCAAAAACCAAAACAAAAACAACAAAACAAAACAAACAAAAAACAAAAACAAAAACAAACCAAAAAAGTCTTTGCTTTTATTTAATATGTAGGGTCTCTTGCCTACATGTATGTCTGTGCACCACATGTGTGCAGTCCCCAGGAAGGCCAGAAGGTATCCAATTCCTTGGGTCTACAATTACAGATAGTGAGCAGCCATATGGGTGCTTGGAATTGAAGCAAGCACCTGGGTTCTCTGTTAAAAACAACCAGTAATCCTAACTACTGAGCCATCTGGTTTGTATGGCCCCCATAGGCTCATGTATTTGAATACTTAATCACCAGGGAGTGGCACTATTTGAAAGGATTAGAAGTACTAGGAGGTGTGGCCTTGTTGGAGGAAGTTTGTCACATTTTTTGAGGTTTCAAAAACCCATGCTAGCCCCAGTCTCCCTCTCAGCTACTTCTCCAGTACCATATCTGCCTCCATGCTTCCTACCATGATGACAATGGGCTAACATCTGAAACTGTAAGCAAGACCGTAATTAAATGCTTTCTTTTATAAGGGTTTCCTTAATTATTAGGTCTCTTCACAGCAATGAAACAGTGACTAAGACACTATTCTGTAGCTCCTTATTTTTATTTATGTATATCTCTCTGTGTGTATTCCACTTGTGTTCAGGTACCCATGGAGGCCAGAAGGGACTTCAGATCCTCTGGAACCAGAGTTACTAGAACTTGTGAGCTTCCCTTTCATGGGTGCTGGGACCCAAACTTGGGTCCTCTGCAAGAACAGATGGGCTCTTAACCATTGAGCTATCTGTCCAGCTCCCAATTTTTTTTCTTAAATTGGAAGGTTTCTTTTGCACTGTACTTGGGGTGGGGTGCAGAGAATATTCTTGTAAATGTCATGAGGATGAGTGCTTTTGTTTTGTTTGCTTTGTTTTCTGTTTTGTTGAGATAAGGTCTTTTGAATCCTGGCCTGGGAGATGATTTATGGTGTAAGAAAGTTTGCCAAGCAAGCTCCATGACTTGAGTTTGATACCAGCATGGCAATGGAATATATTCAGTAGTTCTTCAACAAGGCTGTCCTTCCTAATCCACTTTAGCTCCATCCAGCTTTAGCTCCATCAAATCTCCCCCACTAGAATTCCTGATCTGACTGGTCTAGGCAAGCTGGGCCCCTAGTATTGTTTCAGTGCTCACGAGGGGATCCTGGTGAGCAGGCAAGGTTGAGATGGCCCATCTGTCTTCACAGTGATTTAAGGGCATGATGTGGTGAGAGGGTTAGTGGCCTTTGGGTGTCTCTATGTTGCCTCTGTCTTACCTGGGGGCTGGCTGAAACCTGAGAGAGCCTTCAGGCTGGTTATAACAGGCTCTTCATTCAGCTGCTCTTATGACTTGACATGCCATTCTCTTTAGAGAGCACAACCTGATAGAGCGTCAGCATCCCAGCCCTCAGAACAGGTCAGGCTAATGGCAAGAATCCAGGCCCCAGTGACAATAGCCTCTGCCACACTGGACACACCCAGTGTCTATTAGACTCTGTGTGGGCATTTTTCTTCAACCCACAGGTGTTATTATGTGAGCTACATGGTGATGGCAGTGGAGTCCACAGTAGCCCAAGGTGTATAAGATGAAGTGAGTCAGACTGGAAGCATCCAAAGCTGCCTGACCATGACGTCTGTGGGTATCTCATTAGTTCTTTTTGCTCCCCCTGTCCAAGGGGAGGAGGCTACAAACACCCAAGCCAAGCCAGCAAACAGGGACCTTTCCAGGGGCAAAGTCATATTTTTCAAGCCTCAGTGTCTTTGGAAACCCAATGCTATTTGGTACTTGGTATAGAAAATACTTCTGAGAAATCCTGCTCATCTTGACCCAGCTTCTGTAGCTTCACCTCTGGACACGTGCATTTCATCAGCAAATGTCTGCCATGCTTGTTGTTTGACACCCCTATGTTCTCTTTCTAAAGGACAGGCAGATGCTTGCTCTGTTCCTGAGAAGAGTAAATATGATGCAGATGGCTGAGTACACAACTTCCTGACTTGAAGGGAGACAGAGCCTCCCACTAGCAGGCTCTATGTCCAGGCTCCAGCACCATGAAGTTTGCTTTCTTTCAAATAAAATGTTTAGGGGCTGGAGAGATGGCTCAATGGTTAAGAACACTAGCTGGTCTTCCAGAGGTCCTGAGTTCAATTTCCAGCAACCACATGATGGTTCACAACCATCTGTAATGAGATCTGGTATCCTCTTCTGGCCTGCAGGGATACATAGTAAATAAATCTTTTTAAAAATGTTTAAATATGCCAGCAGGAAGGATATTAATCCCTCTTATTCCCTTCCTCCAACCCCCACCCTCCACTCCCAACCTCTATCTCTGCTAGAGATGCAACTCAGGTCATTAACACTTGCAAAGCAAGTGCTGTATCTGAGCAAAATTCCCAGTCCTGAATTTAAAAACCAAAAATCCCATGCAGCCAGGGAGACGCTCACTCAGTCAAATGCTTGCTGTGAAGATATGAGGACTTGAGTTAGAACCACCCAAATCTACGTGGAAAAGCCAGGCGTGCCAAAATGCATGTGCAACCTCAGTGCTGGGGAGATAGCAAGTGCATTTTCTTGACTTCTTAAACGCCAGGCAGGGAAGTTGGGCGGTGGTGGCGCCCACCTTTAATCCCAGCACTTGGGAGGCAGAGGCAGGAGAAATTCTGTGAATTCGAGGCCATCCTGTTCTACAGAGTTCTAGGATAACCAGGGCTGCACAGAGAAACTCTGTCTCAAATTCCCGTTCCCTTCTCCCCCGCAAAAAAAAGTCCTGCGGGGACTTGATTGCGTCTTTGACAGGAGCCGTCGATAATAGTTCCACCAATGTCTTCTGAACTGGGCCAGTCACCTGTCACTTCCTTCTTCCTGTGTCTCCGGAAAAGCTTGTTCTGGAAAACTCCTAGTGCCTGTGCTGGGACTGTGAGGGGCGCGGCTTGCACACATCAGGCGGTTTGGCAGAGGCCACCTCTTGGCAGCCATTATGCCAAACCTTGACCTTGATACCTTTGGGGGAGGGGGGCAAGGCAAGGCTCCTCCACCAATGGAAACCGCACAGGTCATCTAGCAGCCAAGGTCTCTTCAACTCTTCATGAGTTTCAGAATGTTCAAGGATTTTTTAATGTCCACATTATGATTGATTTTCTTTTTTGGTCTTTCCAAGCTACAATCAGTCCAGCGCGGATGTGGGAGCCCTTTCAATACTAGCGTGTGTGGATCCATGAGTTGCAGTGAAGAAATAATTACCTAAGGAAAGAGGCTTCATGTTGCTGCTACAGAACTGTGGGAAGATCCAGCTTTAAAAAAAAAAAAAAAAATGTCAGGGAGCTGGGCGGTGGTGGCGCATGCCTTTAATTCCAGCACTCGGGAGGCAGAGGCAGGCAGGTGGATCTCTGTG